CAAATGCACATACATATTTGTGACATGATGTACCTTGTGTGTGTGAAGTTTGAACTCGATCATCAAGCATGTCTCAGATACGGATCCAGAACTGAATTCTTTAAAACAAAATGGCCGCCAGTCGGCCATTTCGAACCCGATCCCAAAAAAAAATGACGTGCATCAAGGTCCTATTATGTGTAATGTATGTACCAAATTTGAACAAAATCCGTCCATGCATAACTGAGATCCGGGTCCGGAATGGTGAAAATGTGCGATTTCAATGCATTTTCGGCCTTAAAGCGGCCGCCATTTGGCTATTGTTAATGAGATCATGAAACAAATGTACATACATATTTGTGACATGATGTACCTTGTGTGTGTGAAGTTTGAACTCGAACAATCCAAGCATGTCTCAGATACGAATCCAGAACTGAATTCTTTAAAACAAAATGGCCGCCAGTCGGCCATTTCGAACCCGATCCAAAAAAAAAAATGACGTGCATCAAGGTCCTATTATGTTTAATGTATGTACCAAATTTGAACAAAATCCGGGTCCGGAATGGTGAAAATGTGCGATTTTGATGCATTTTCGGCCTTAAAATGGCCGCTATTCGGCTATCGTTAATCGGATCATGAAAAAAATGCATGTGCATATGTCCCATATAATGTGTGATGTATGAGTGAAGTTTGAACTTAATCGGTCCATGCATGTTCGAGATACAGGTGATCACGGACGGACGGACGCACGGACGGACGGACGCACACAGGGCAAAACATAAGTCCCCGTTTTCGGACTGCGTCCGAACGGGGACTAATAAAACATTTTCAAAAAACAAGATGGCTGCCAGTCGGCCATTTTGAATCAAATCGCTAAACCACTGCATGTGCATATGTCCCACATAAAGTACTAGGCACATGCAACGAATGAACGAAATCGGTCCAAAGGATTCTGAGATATGAACTCGGACGGACGAACGGATGCACAGACGCAGACCGAATTATAAGTCCCCGTTTTCGAACTTCGTCCGAACGGGGACTAATAAAACTCGACAGTGAGGAATCATTTGAATTAAAATTTCCCCACTGACAAACATGCCCAATACGAATGAACTCAAAATGAACTAAAATGTCAGGGGGTAAACTGCGTAAAATTATTGTCAGTTTTGACAAATACCGATTCAACAGTCACACAAGGTCAATAATAATTTACACAATCAAAATTACAAAAGTTCATTGTTATTTGAAAAAACTTCTCAGATCTCTATTTGTACATTCATTGCCATCTTCATAAAAGTCAAAACCATCAAAGTTCAAGTCGGTGTCACTGTTGTCTCCGAACAAAATCCCCAAAGCTTCGTCCAGAAGTTCGTCGATGTCGTCGTACATAATTTGGAGTTAGCACATTTAATCGACAGGTTTTGCTGTCTTTCAGCTTGGCACTTTTAATTCATGTCCAATCAGAATAAAGAGACAAGAAAAATGGGGTTGCCACAAACAATTCTGCTACAAGTCAACATTGCTTTTTTTATCAGACTAGACACTCATCAATCATGGTGAAAGTTATCATTCAGCAAGTTCCGGCGGTTGGAATGTCTCACTACTAGTATATGGATATCGCTTGAAATGGGAATATTTTTTTTTTTCAACAACAGAAGAATAATTTTCATGTCAGAAATTCAATAGCGGTGATGAAAGATGATAAAAAAGTCTTCAGCATGACATTGCAAAATTGCTGGCCCCAGTTATAGATTTACAAGCTGCTACCAAATGTTTTATGAAGCCAAAATATTGTGATTTCAACCACTCTCCCAGGTAGGGGTTGCTACAATATTGCAACATTGGTTTCAATTTTTCGATGATGCTAAAGCCGAACAAGTACAACACTTGCTATGCTTTCTGTAAGTTTTGCTTGAATCGTTTCTAAAGAAAGTCAACTGTTAATACAACAAACAAATGTAGGAAAAGACCGCCTGGGCGTATGCCTGGACATGCCCTCAATTTCTTCATTGCATCAAAATTGGGTGCTTACCCCAATAAATACGTTATTTCTAATAGAGCTAGTTACTGTAATGTAAATGCCAGATTCTGTAATAAAACTGGTTAGGGCTCATCTCAGGCTGTTTCTTCTAGTCTCCATGTATTACATGTGTATTTGGACATTTCTGTAAACACAGTTGAACATGTCCAAGCTTCCACTGCATTGTTCCCATCATTCAAAATATGATTGACCTGAGCAAGAAACTCATAAATTTCACATCTTCATATAAAATACTTGACAATACTCAATCAAAATCAACACAGAAATTATATAGAATCCATAAAAATGTGGAAAATGTTAATACCACGATGATGTGGAAAAAAATCATACATGTGGCAGAGCTTTGCTTCAGCAGTATTGACAGCAGTCTGACTACCATAACTTTGAACAGGAGATTCATTATGATATTGATTGGACACTGGGTTGACTTACCGAGCTACTTTACTAAGTCCGATGACACGTTTGTTTGGAATATATCCTATTGAAACCTAGAAAAAAATATAAATATCTTGTTAAATAAAAACAAAAATCCTTCATTTAATATTTTTGCTCTCTATATCGCTTGATCCTAGTGATTACTAGACAGACATGTGAAAACACTGGTTATAATGATAAATCACCAAAATTAATGACTAGATATGATGTTAGCCATAACTCTTGATCCTGTCCTGACAAGAATTTACTAGTACCGTAAAATCTGTATTAGAAGCCGCATCCCTAATAGAAGTCGCAACCATTCTTTTTGAATAATTGAGAACCAAAAATTCATTATATCTTATATGTACAGATGCTCTAATAGAAGCCGCATCCCCTCTGTTGCATTGTACAATTTTAATAGAAGCCGCTGTTTCTAATACAGATTTTACAGTAAACCATCAAAGTATAATGACGAGAATACATTTTCTGGTAGTACAAATTATGTTATAAAAATAGAGGTAAAGGTTCTACTGTCATGCTCTACAATTTTTTTTTTTCGCAATCTACTCAGTTATTTGTAACAATATTTGTGTCTACAAATTGTCATGATTTGATAGATAGATAGCCTTTATAAAAACAACTAAATTTTCAGTGTGACTTGCCATCTTCCATAAATAATGAGAATTATTATACCTCTGACATTAATTTACCCACCTGTAGAGCACTGTACAGACATGTTCTAAAGTGATACGAACACGTTTGACATTTTATTTAGAAACTGGGCATCATTTTTAGGTCACACTTTTCCGTTGTTTACTTGAGACACATGTGATGAAAATAGAATTCTGTCACTGAACGCAAACAGCATGAAACATCTTTCGTTGCTATTGTGAGATGTCATCTTTTACTAAATTATTACTGCAAGCATGTTTATTTATAAGGTTTTCATGAAAATACCACAATGTATGCACGTTATAGTATACCATTTTGAATAATTTCAAAATTTCAGTACTGGTATGTGAAATTAAACACTTTTCTAATGCAACTACTGATATGGGTTTGAAAAATCACCGAATTCATCGATGTATTTTCCCCATGATCACAGTTTTACAAACCATATTAAGATTAACCTGTTAATTAAACCTACACTACATTAAAATATTTGTCATTGTCGTTGTTGTAGATTTCAATAGTTAACCATGTATATAATTTTTTTCATTTGATGAAAACCCACGCGTCTATTGCTAACTACATTGTACATTCCAAACTGGAGTTCCCATACGAGTACAAGTAGCTGACATCGAAATACAATTCATTACATCGCTGAACAAACAGGATGTTGAATTTTCTGTTGCCCTGGGCAACCAAAGAAAAGTGGCGGAAGGCTAATAAAAATTAAATTTTCCTTACTTTTCCGACAAATGGAACTAGGTGATGCTCGCACATGGAGAACATTTCAATATCTCTGACAATCACCATTTCATCGTGATCTTCATCAAATATTGCATCGTTGAGAAGATCTGAAAAAAAAAGTGAATCGCATAATATTTTATTTGTAACTCTCCTTGCACCTATACTATACCTAAAGAATGAACATACTTTTGACACAGGAATTTCAAATTTGCTACATTAATTGTGGCTAGCTATTTGAAGTTCAGTTGTACGCAGTTTAAGCAATTTTCAATTCAAAATGGCCGCCAGAATAAAGAGCTTAATGCCAGGGAGAAATCACAAAGTCATACTAGTATTTGCTTTTTGTCATCATAATCTATATCAAGAATTTATAGTGCTTTTAAATAATGCCAATAACAATTTTAATCTATTGATTGTATAACACAAAAACATTACGGGTCCTTATGTTTAGAACTGAGCTCATAGCCATTAAAAACATTGGGATCACAATGTTATGCCCAATCTTTTATACTTGGTTTGCATATTTCTATCAGAAGCATCCATCCACTCTTTTATAAATTTCTATATTTTAGGGAAAGAACATACCAGTATCACTGGACAAGGTGACCCTTAAATTTGTACACTTTTCTGCTTCTTGATTTAGTTTGATTGTAATAATTGTATTTAAATTAAAAAAACAAAAACAAGTCATTGTCTATAAAAGTTTTTAATGAATGTGTTAATTATACACAATGCAATAATTAACTGTATTCAGCATGTTAAAAATATGGTGTTACTTCAAATGACACCTTCATCAGGTTTTGTTCAAAGTGACACCTCCATGGAATAAGATCATTCTCATATCTCACAAAATGGTATAATACAAACATACATTTTGTAAAGCAGTTTAGACGTTATGAATCAAATAACAAAACAAAACACTGGGTGTGTTGTTCAAAATCAGTTTAATGAATGTCTGAGAAGTGGTTAAGGACACCTTAAAATAAAACCAACATGATCGCAAGTCAATTTGTCTGAACCAAATTACAAAATAAATGGGTGAATGTGGGCCAGGCATGCCTGAGAAACGGTTTATAAAATTTGTTTGGGTGTTTTGGGGGACAAAAAAAAAAGCCAACAGTTTGTCAAAGGTCATCAAAACAAACAAAAAATCAATTTGCCAATGTATGCCATTATATTGTCCAAGAAATTGTTAAGGAAACAAGAAAATAATACATTGTCGCCAGGTGAGCATTTTGAATCAAATCACAAAACAAACTGGTGCAGATCACTAACCAAAACCATGACTGATATCTATGACAAGTTTGATTGAAATTAAGCCAGGCTACGTGAGAATTTGTAGATGACATGTTGACTTTTTTTTATTTATAAAAATGGCCGCTAGTCAGACACATTTTGTCTGAATCCTTCAAATAATAAAACATTGAACCCATTATATCTTGTCTTTGTAACAACTTCAAACCAATTCTGTAAAAAATATCTCTGAGAAATGGACAGAACACTTCAAAAACAAACGGTCACCAATCGTACATTTGGAGGCATCAGAAAATAACCATGATCGGTGTCAATACCAGGTTTGAATGAAATCGGTCAAGACATGACTGGGAAATAGTTGGTTCATACATGTTCGAACAGACTATAAAACTACTGTAAAGGGGGTAATCATTTCTAAAGACAAGAGAATAAACAAATCTCCAATTAATTTGGCATTGAAATTTCTGAAAAAGTTTGAAACCAAATTTTGGAGTGAAAGCATTAACAGATTTTCAGTTTGATTGCCAAATCACATGTTCATTCCTTCTTATTTTTAATGAAATAGTCACATGTTAGATAAAGTGGCTCAGAGATTAATGATCAATTAATTAATTAATTAATAATATCACAGAGATTAATGATCACCTCATATACCGTATTTGCACATCAAATACGGCATTTATCGTACACTGGGTCAATAAAATATGATTTACTTTTAACCATGAACACACCTGTTATTTATTTAAAGCACATGTACTTACTACAATAGATCAAATACAGTATATATTTTGATATCCATGATAAACTAAACTACTGTATTTCTTCTATTAAATGTGCACTTCCATTGGAATGTATGTGCAACACAAAAATGAGTTATGGTTGGATTTTAAGCAAACCAAAAACTGAACTATTTGTGCTAGTTTATATACGTAGTATATGGTGACATTTACACTCTCCATGTTTAAATTATATCATAACATATTCAGAATAAAGCTTTATTCCCCCCCAAAAAATAGCACAAAAGCAGAGGCAAAAATGAATTAATGTTTTTGAATATTTGACTTTCAACTTAATATTATCTTACTCCACTCTTCTGTGGGTAAAAATAGTCATCTCCGTTTCTGAAGAATTCAATTACAGTTATTAAAAAAAAATATGTTATCATAATCCCCGTCTCAATAACATTATTTATTCGGATTTTTTTCTCCCTCATGATCACGACAAAGCAGTTATTTGGATCGACAACATTACAGCACACATGCTGTGAGTAAGCAACTGTTGGGCTTTTGAAATTTGAAAGGTATGATTAAATTTCAAGGTTTTATTAACAAAAATATCCAAGTGTGTGTTTATATACAGAATGAATCCATTCATGCAGGTAATAATAAAGAACTTAGTAACCAGAGCCACTGTGGTGTTTGTGTTGAATGCATAATCGCTGGAAATTGAAATGGTAATCACAGTGACAGCAACAGTAATAAATTCTTATTAGCCGAACAAAAGCATTCAACGATGAATGTCACTCTGGATTTAGGTAAGACCTCATCAAAACCATGTATGACTTGCCCTTTTAGTAACTTGAGACCATTTTATTTTATACAGTTGCTGTCTTTTGCTGTGAATCGATCAGGCTTTATTATACACTCCCAATGCATGCTGAAACTTGTTGACTTTCCTCTGTCAGCCTTCGGATAAATAAATATCAAAATATGTTTCTATTCATAAAAAAATACATAGCCTATTTTTATTTTCTCTTCCCATTTATTTAAATATTTTCACTTTCATTTTAATATGTTTAAAAATCCTTGTGTAAAGAAAAGGAAAATAGTCAACATTATGAATTATAACATGGTTAGTCTGAATCCAGCAATCTGATTGGCTGAAGGAAGGTCTTATATATCTGGCACTGGAAGATCTATGATCCTGTCCCAAAACTGAATAAACTGGCTTAAATATCTAACTGAATCAAGATCGTATGACTGTGAGCACTGTTCATAGTGATTTTGGATATATGATCAATTGATTAAAACAGGGAAACCTGGTACAAGTACTAATCCTAATTATTATTGGCAAAAATGGTAGTGTACTGTACATTTTCTGTGAGAAAACGCCCATGAGGAACATTCATTGCAGCATAGCGTTCAAATTGAACAAGTGATGTAATCAACGTACCTGTGTCTGTCCTTTGCCGGGCATGTCGTTTGTTTCATAAATGAAAGTAAATGCAATGCAACTAAAAACATTGTATTTTTTTTGATAGGAAAATGTATGTGTACAGTTGATATTACCGCTATAGACTTGACATCTAGGCGCATGTTTTATGGAGTCCGTTTTAGGCCTGGAGTTTGAATACAAAATCTGGAACGCACTACACAGGAGGTAAACTCTAACCCCTCAAAATGAATTATAATGTCAGTTTACATAAAATAAAATAATGATAAATATAATTGAAATAGCTTAAAATTCACACATTATTATGCAGATGAGCTCATTAATATGCATGGATGTCAACCAAAAACTAATCAAATCTGTGCATTGCCCCAGACAAGCTATATACAAAGTTTCATTGAAATCCGAACATTGGTTCTTGAGATATCGATGGAACAGACGCACACACAGACACACAGTCAGACACACTAACTGCAAAGACTCCCTTTTTGTGCTTTGCACACGGGAGTCAAAAACCATAAATGCTGTAATGTGTTAGAGAAATGCCGAAAGTATTCCAAGCGAGAGTCATAAGGTTCAAGGAACTGTTACGCCACTGTAGAGAAATTCTTCTGTAGCGTACCTGTAGCGTATCAAGGTGATTAACAGATCGAATGACGTCATAAAATTACTGACCAATAACAGATCACAGGGGTTCTGAGAACCTTTGACCAGATCTTTGTCATCCAAAGTGGACTGACATTGACTTGCACTGTCTTTACATTTGCATGCAGATGAGCTCTGCCTATATCTTTTATTACATCATCCAGATGAATACATAATTAATAGCAAAGCTGTGCATTCAGCCTATAACAGTTCCTCGGGCCTTACAGCTGTCGCTTGAAATGCTTTCGTAAACGCATTACATTACATTATTAGGCCAGAGGAACTGTTGCAGTGTACAATTTATGCACCATTTTCCAGTGTTACTTTAGATGATAATTGGTGTCATTAGTAACTTTTGACTATCTAAATATACAAGTTTTTTTTTCTCATTCTCCTAATTAAATGAATTTTTAAACCTAGTCCCATTGAACTTTAATCCTTTCTTTAATTGGACCGTGAACGAGAATAATTATTTTTGAGGTTGCAATGATGAAAATTTAAATTGTAAGAGGGTTTTTTGAGTAAGTAGTCACATGTTTGGAGAATCTGAATGCCAATGAAAGTACATGTAATTTAGTACTGCAAAATGTCAAACATTGGAAACAAAATACACATAAGGTAAAAAAGCTGAAAGGGGTAAGCATCAAGTTTTATTTCTTGTATAAAAATGAGAAGAAATATCATGGAGGATTTATAGCTTCTGAATGTGAACATTTTGTGCAATGGAGTTCAATTTACTGGACGATTATGTTATCAAAAATCAGGCGGTCCAACTACAGTAATATATAATGCAAAAAGATTATAAGATTTAAATGGTAGTCTGAAAAGCAATCTGAACAGCAGTCTTTAAGGCCGCGAATGACAAAAAAAATCACATGAATGACCTATGAATTGCAGGGGATATTCGTAATGTGTAGGCTGCTTAGACTTTCTTGAGCATTTTTTGAATTGTATACTGTACCACGATTACATTTTTTAAATTGTCATTCAACATAGACACTTTAAAGAATACAAACAACATGTGATAAAGCAATTCAAA